CACTTTACCTGAGTTGGACAATTTTGAGCACAATCTGCACTCTTCACTTGGTATTTATTGACAATGGATGTCAAATATTGAACTGAATGATAAGACAAGAAGCTCTCTGCTTCTCTCTCTCTATCTCTCTTTCTCTCGCTCGCTCGCTCGCTCTGTACGCGCCGTACTGCTTCGCTGTCGCACGCTATTCGAACTGAGCTGAAATCTTAAATGGCAAACTTCTAAATATGAAATGGCATGGAAATGAATGCGACAATAACGGCAAGAGGGCGTGCTAGCTAGCCAGTCAAGCAGTCAGTCAGCCAGTTAGTCAAGCGCTCAGTCGACCAGGCCAGCTAATGGCCAGCAGATCGAGACAGGTTTTGGGGGAAGGCGGGCAACCCCTTCGTGTGATTGACAAATCGGCGGCTGTGGCTTGATTTGTCTTCGCGTGACACTATTTAAATGTTTATTTTTATTTGACTTTATTTTTCCATTTAAACTCTTTAAGCATTATTGCAGTTTTATTTGACTTTCCGCCTTTTTCTTTGGTGTGACACCTGCTGGGCGTGGCAAGCTGAGAACTTGGCACCACTTGGCGAACTTTCCACAAGCAGCAGCTGATGCTAACCACAATTTGCGGTTAGCCGAGGGCTGCAGCTGAGCCGCTGAGCAGCTGAGCAGCTGAGCATCTGAGTGCATCCGAAGGCTGAGTTCAAGTCAAGTTTGTCTCGGATTACTCATACGCCCAGTGCGGTTCATTTGGTGCACCGCACGAAGCGCAATTGAACCTGTTTCCAAATCAAGCGTCAGCAACATTTCCACAGCCGACTGTGATGAGCCCGCGAATGCATTCGCGAATGCATGCGAGAGAATCAACTTGATTCACCTGAACTTTAATTCACAAATAATTATTGCTTTTCGATAGGCCACAGTAATTGTTAATTTGAGCCACTCTTCAGCGCTCATGAATTTGTCTTCCATCACACAACCTCACCTGAGTTCAATGAAAAATAAGAAATAGATAAGAAGAACTTCACAATGTCTTTTTTAGATAGTGGAAGATGACAACAAATATTGACACGGATGTTACTGAGAGAAGCTAACGAAGTGAGTTCCAAATGTTCTGAACTTACTTATTCGATAGAAGTAAGATTTGAATACTAAGTTACCAAATTAATAACTTTAAGTCTTCAAACTTGTTCATTATAATAAGAAAAAAGAAAAAAATTGATCAACCTGTTTAATATCTTGCTCGCACAACAAATGCGGGATTAATTCTTTTTATCAATTTTATTTTGTTAAAAGTTTATGTATTTTTTCATCTCTCCTCTTCTTTTCTCTCTCTTTCTCTTTCTCACTCTCTTCTCAATGACTCTCTGTATCTGTATCTGTATCTGTATCTGTATCAGTATCTGTATCTGTATCTGTATCTGTATCTGTATCTGTATCTGTATCTGTATCTGTA